ACTTTCTCATGCTATTCCTGGCTAGGTTGTTGTCAAAATGAGGTTTGGGAGAAAGATCACAAAGTTTATGCCTGCATCTTCTCTGCAGGTATAATAGGGATCCAGCAGCCAACTCACTTGGAAGGCATCTTTTTGGTAATCTGAGCAATCTGTGCTTTCTCCTTGACTTTCTCTGGCAACAAGCATTCTTGCACTTCTTCCAGCAGCTGATTCAAGAGAGGTTAGTCCTACATTACACAGAAGTGTTTAATAGCTATCCTTAGTGAACACAACTAAAAGGTATGAGCTTCCTCCTACAGATGAACAATGTTTTTGAATCTCCTCTCCACACAATGAACTAGAAAGGGCCAAAAGTCTTAAAGATTTTTCCTGGGCTTTCTTTAGAAGACTTGGCACTAGTTAGAAGAGCTCAAATAACTTATTAGGAGCTCACTATCCATGATTCAGTTCTGTGATTTTTCAAATCATCAAAACCTAAGACAAAATCCAATAAAACTAGGTAAAGTATGTTCCAGCAACCCTGATGTAAGCTAAGCTTCTTCATTAATGGTAAGGTAACTGGCCTCAACACACAGGCAAGACACATGAGAGTTTTCCCCCCCAATTATTTTTATTTCAAATGGAGAAGAACAATCATTTTCAAAATCCAAACCAAAACTCGAACCCTGCAACTGTAACACTTTCAGTAATTCTGACAATATTTCCTAGTCCATACAGACCTGTAGATACGACCAGCTGGGAGGAAGGTATTAGTTCTAAATCCATACCTCATTCAAGGGTCATTTTTTTTGAGATAAGGGAAAAAATATGTGACTTCCTCAGATCCAAAAGAAATTAATAACCTGACATCTCATTCTACTGCTCTGATAACACTCTGGAGATCTAGAAACATACTGACTGTTGACTTTAGAAACTGTCTGACAACCAGGTTACAAGTGGGCTACTCAGTAGTATCTCAATCCTTCCTGGCCTACAGAGAAAGAAAAACTCTGTAAGATTAAGAAAAAGTCCTTGCAAAAGGGCAATCTAACACAATAGATTATTTTCACTTCTTTTAAAGTATAACCAGCTGGGTTCATATAGCTCATTTAACTCTGTGATCACTCACCTATCAAGACAGGATAAGCTAATCCAACACAAGTATCCAAGAAGTCTATTCAACCTGACCTGAGCCAGGAAATAAACATGGGCAAATATAAAAAAGCCCCTGAAAACTGTTCTCTAGAAAGTTCCCAACACTAATGCAAGGAAATATGTTCACATCTACAGCAGAAATCCACACAGAAAATGCCTACAATAAAACTCAATAAAATGCAAAAGCTAAGTTTTATCTTGTCTGTTATTTGTGTAGAATTTACAGTGGGACCATGTCAGCTGAGAAAAAGAAAAACGTAGCACAAACCAGGGGTAGTGGTGACAAGAGCAAGGCAGCTGTGACCAAAGCTCAGTATATTCCATTATTCAAAAGACCCTGCCTTCTGCAATATATACTCTTTACTTCACATGAAAGCAAAAAGTCAGTCAGCAAAAACACTAAACTGGTTAGCTGGTCAGTTTTTAATTAATACTTTCAGTAATACCACATTGTTGTGGAAGGGGACATACGGCATCTGACAATCCCTAAACAAAAAGGCACTACTGATAATATTGACTATTCATGGTCCCTAGACACCCAACTATCATTATTCAGCTCAGGTGGTGAGGATGCAGAGCCAGGTGTTGAAGCTTTGTCCTGGTTCAGCTAGGATGGGGTTAAGTTTCCCCAGCAGATGGGGGGAAGGGATCTCCAGCTGAGTTATTCATACCATGCTGAGGTCAGGTCCAGCGCTGGAGTGCAGGAACTTTTTTCCCTTTGTGGCTTTGGTCCCGGGAAGCACGGGGCTGTCTGTAACCATTGCGGTATTTCTCTGTATATCTTTTGTCTTGTTTACTGTTATTACTCTTTATTGTTGTTATCATTGCTACTGTTGTTGTTCAGATTGTTTATTACACTGTTGTATTATATTTCTTCTTATTTTAAGCTGGGGTTTGTGCCCTACTTGTGTCCGAGGGTGGGGGAGGGACAACGGCAACGTGGTCTCTGGTCCCGGCAGGGCTTAAACCAACACAGCCTTCCAGATCGCAGGCTGCCATGTGCAGTCCCAGCTCTCTTACCTTCACTCACAGGAATAGGGAATGAAATCACTAAAAAAACACATAGAAAGTTGCACTATGGGTGCCCTCAGCATGGGACATTACCCCAGAAAGAATCCCAGCATGGTCTGCAGCTGGGGCCACATAGAATTGCCCTGGCAATGCTGCAAGATGGATGCCTGTTTTTTCATAACCCTCCTTCTGCAATCCCACTCAGTCTTTCTCACATAACATTCTTTGCATCCTTGAAGTGACAGACATTTGCCAAGGACCTGAAACACAAGAGTGCAACTTCTAGCTCTCGTATACCTTCACTAGCCATGCCATCGCAGATCTGCAACAGCAACTCTAACGAGCCAGAAAAACCCTTGTATTTTTGGGGGCAGCAGCCAAAAAAAAAACCAAAAAACAAAACAAAAAAACCCACACGTTCTTCCCTTGAGGTGATCCCCTGTGAGGTGAAGGCAGTAGGGAAAGGTAGCGGCAGCCAAGTCACAGAGATGATAAAATGTCAGACTCCTGGCAGTACAAAATGGCAGCTGAACCCTGGCAAAATGCCAAGCTGTTCAAACAGTGAATTGAGGAGTACACGGGGCCATAATTATGATTAGCATAATAAGAGAGTGGTACAACAGCTACCTAGTCACTCTGAAGGGTCATGGAGAAATCATAACAAAGCAAAGTTTTAAGGAGAGACACAAAAGAAAACAATGACGTAGCTGCTTGGTGGGTTTTACCCGGAGGTTCTTCCATGCGTGAAGTGCGGCCCGGGAGAAAGTACAAAGACTGTTTAAGAGATCAGGCTCTGAATCAAGATCGGCCGGCCATGCCTGCAGAACTCAAAACAGCTCCACAACATATAAAAGATCATATGAAAAGTGTGACACTGAAGACAAAGGACCTTATGAGAAAAATAGGCTGTTTGTGTAAATTCGAATAAAAGCTGGGCTCGATAGAGTCAGTCAACTAACCAGAAAAGACTGTTTTCTCTTTTCCTCAAATGAAGCAGAAGAGATAAAAATATGACAAAATTTAACAAACAAAATCAGAACATTCTGATATTTGCATTTTTTCATTTTGAATGCCATATAAACAATATTTACTGATCCACTGCTTCATGCAATTAGCCAGCTGTCTGGGTGAAATTAATCAGTTGTAATAAAAGTATTAAACATTGAGTTTCAGACTTAAAGCTATATGGAAATGAAAATTTCTAGATTCACTGTACTCTGTACATCTGGAGGAATTTATAAACAGAGTTGAAGTTTAAAATAAAGTTTTCTTCGCAAATAGAAAAATCAGAGTTTTCACTGAGATCTGAATTCCATAGAAGACAGTGAGAATCTGCGTATAAAAAAACCCCATCCTTATTTAGTAGGCACAATCTGGTCCTCCATGAACAGAAATGCTACTGTTTACACATTGTCACCTCCCTTTTGCTGCCGTTTCTGTTTCTCCTATTAACCTTTTCCATTACCACAGACATCAAGAACTCTATGTGTACAAAAAAAATGCTCCTCCCAAGGCAAGGTCAACTCCTTCCCATACAAGACAACCATATGCTGTATCCCGAGCGTGATACATCATAAAAACCCATGTTACAAGATGATACAGTCATTAAGATTCTCCATCTCATTTGTTATCATATGATATCAGGCAGAACATCAACTAAAGATGTGCCTTTTGGATTTTGGAGACTAGTGTAGTTAGACTGGTAAAAATCCTACCCCTGTATCTTTCCCTTGCTTTCAAACATCATTTTTCCCCTGTCTAAAATCCAAAGTCATGGCTTTCTTCTATCTTTGTAAAAAAAAAAAAAATCCCCAACAAAACACAGCCCTTGATATCTGACTTCTTTCTAAGCAGCTCTCTACACTGACAGGAATGAAACCCACCTTTAGCATGTAATAAACTTATGGCTTCCAACAACAGGCATCCCCATAAGGGAGACTGTATTCTACTTCTCACACACCGAAATATTTCTACTGTTGTAAATCCTTCCTTACAGCACTATCTGACAAACACAAATTATACTTTTTCTAGCTTAACCACAGCTTTGCTATGTACACCAACAGACTTTGACACTCACTGGTGCAAGCCAACCTAAGGCACACATCTTAATTCTCATTTGCAGTGCTCACTGTAAACCATCATAACACCTAATTGAAGCAATTTATCCTGTAAAAGTTTACCAGTCAGTAACATATTTCAGAACACAAATTCAGGGAAGCACACAACTGATTTTCCCAATTAGGGCAGTTGCTTATTAAACTTTTCATCTTCCTGTTAATAAACCCTGTATTTTAGATCATTTTAGAACATCCATTTATTCCCAGGAGTAGGTGTGTATCTAATGCAAAATACTTATGAAAATAAATGAGAATCAACATCTCTCTTGCCCGATCGTTTTGCGTAAATGACTAGATACACAGCAGTTAGAGGAAAAAAGATACACTACTGTTGAATACTATTAGGACTGAAGAAGCAAGAGAACATACTCTATTTGCCTTTCAAATGCAAATTCCAAAATGCTGACTTATAGTGATTCTTAGTTCTGGATTTTGCTACTGTTCACAGTTAAATGCATTACAATCACAGAACACTTGTCAGCAAGTAGCAGAAAGCAAGATCTTTGCTTTTTAAAAAATTGTACTTTTATAGTAATGAAAAAAAAATCACAATTGAATGTTCTATATTAAATATCTAACTGTTTGTAAATAAAGGACAAACCCAGCAGTTTTTGTAATCTCCAGCTCACCCATCCTGTAACTCAGAAAAAGAAATAACGCAAACTAATCAACTGTCAGACTGAAATGTTCAAACTATAATCCTGACTTGCTCATTTAAACAAAAGATAAGTCACTTACAGAACTGGATGAACAATCAGCTCTGGACTATATGATTTGATTACTGTTGCTGCATCTTTGGTACAAAACACATGGGATAAATCTGCACCCTAAAAAAGAAAATTTGCAAACAGAATTACCAAATAATAACAACTTCATCATTCCAAAGTTTACTCAGTGAATAATTCACCTGAATTCATTCTTCTCAGTAGTTAATGCAAACTTTATTATTTTTTCTATTTTGTCTTAGACTACCATGAAGTGTTTTGGAGAAATTTAATTTTCAATATAATTTTTTTCTGTTTCTCACTGATAGGATGACTGAAAACACAGATCTTGGAACCTTTACTCCCATGAGAAATGTTTCTCATTTTCAGATGAGAAAAGACTAAAATGTCACATGTACAAGAAGAAGGAAGGCAAAACAGCACAACTGACAAGCTACATTTGAGAGGAAAAATAATACTGTAAAATACTTGCAAAATATAGCTATGGCAATCTCTGAGTATATTTCCAGCCCTGCCATTTTTACTCGGTGGGCCAAATCCATACCAGATAAAGCCTGGCACAATTTCAGCAGTACCTCTTAAGTTAAACATTAAAGATGAGGAGTTTAGCCTCAAGCTTCTGTTATCAACTAAAAAAAAAAATTAAATAAATAAATCAGACATAATAGTAAAAATTATGTAAGCATCGACCAGAAAGCCTGATCTTGTATCTGTCTTGCATATTGAAATTTCCCAAAGAAAGCATCTTCTCTGTTTTACTACTACCCATTTAACATCCCAAGCTACTAAGCAATGCAGAGATTTGATCCTATGACTCTATGTGCAGATGTAATGATACAAGACCAAGTGACTTCAGTAGGGCACCTTTTAGTACACTATTTTATTTGCACATAAGTGAAGAGAAAGCTGAGTGGCCTTAGTATCTTATATAAGAACATTAAATAATATCATTTCAGTTTTAAATCCTTGAAAGACTGCACCAGGGGAGGTGGGGGGAAATACCTGGAATGGTTACCTACTTACTGAAACAAATCTTCAAAAAGAAAAACATATGCAATGAACTGAAAGTACTGACACACCATATATAAATCACTCAAAATTATATGTATTATGTAAGCATGATTTGTTTACATTTGAATAATCGCCACTGTATTTATGTAGTCTGCAGTAGATGTATTTTTAGACAGTTAATATGTCACTAAAATAAGGAAGTTCAAACTTCTAGGAAAAAAAATCTTAGAAAATACTTCTGCTAAAGATTATAGCTATTAAAAACTACATTAAATTCAACCAACAATCTTTAGACTTACAGCATGTAAGAATTTTACGAGCCTAAAGTTGTTTCTTTCAACACACTTATCAGGTCCAGAAAATATTTCTGATAAACTGACTGCAGCACTGAAAACATAACTGTAACTGTTGATTTATTTTATTGTTTGCTTTTGGAGAAAATATTTCATCAAGTTTTGAAATTTCCTATCCAAGACTCTGACAAAACAGTTATCCCGCTGAAATCTTCAATTTTTTCATGCCTAGCTTTACCTAATATAGAGAAAATATTTACAGAAAATTCATTAAATGACACATATTTACGAAGTATTTCTACAAATCCAGGACTAAGGATTTTCACTGTTAAATAGAATACCTTTTAGAACTCAGATTTCATGCGCGGCATGAATGCTTTTAAATTAATGCTTTTAAAAATGGCACTTAGCCAATACAAATGATGAAAAGTTAATTTTGGATTGATATAGAAGAACACATACCACTTTGAGAGCTGTAATTGCAGCAAAATACGGTGCTCCAGTGTATCTAGAATGAAAACCAATTTAGGTTAGGAAACAGAGTCATGAGATTAGATAATCTAGAAATCAGCCTGCCATAACAAAGTCCCAAATTCAAGAGCAAATTTTAAGAAAAGCTTTCTTGTTTGCTCTAAAAGACAGATAAAATCTTGCTATATTGAAGCCTGTCTCAAACCTTGCTCTGATTTCCAAGGTGCAGGATTTCACCTTAGCCACCTGACCCTTTCGTAGAAATATTTACAAAGATCATGCCATAAAAAATGCAAACACTTCCTGGATAATCAATTTAAAAGTTTAGAGACAAACAAAGCAAAACAAGGATCAAACACTGTCTGCAAGCCAAATCTGGGATATGTCACCTGGATCAACCCCTTCTGGTTTTAGATGTGTAACCTGAAGTGCCTAAACTGTGATTCCAGCTGCCCTGAATTCTCTTTATGAAGACTGAAGAGAGAGATACGGACAGAATCACCCTCCAGAGGTGCCTACTTCTACCAAGAGGTAAGAACATAAGTCCATTAGACCAATAGGAAAACTAACCCCTGGCTAATCAACCCAGATAGAAGACAGAACCTTTTACACTCTTTATAGAAGGTTTATTAAAGGCAGATGTCCAACAGCAGACCTTTTAGAGGAAAAAGATGCCATCTCTATTTCAAAAGGGGAAAATGAAAAATAGGAAGGTGTAGTGGCTCATTCAAAGTACTGTGCAGATTATTGAACGTGGCCAAGAAAAGATGAGAGCCTGTTTTATTTCTAGGTCAGTACACCATTTAACTGATTCATGCTGTATCTCTTTTTTCCCCTGAAACATGCTATTTCTATTACTCCAGAACATAAAACAAGGTATTGACAAAATCTAGTAATCACCACAATTGATCAAAATCAAAAGTACACAGTAAGAGAATATTCCAATCCTGATTTAAGAGACACAGTTCCCAAGATACCAAAATATTTTTTAAAAAATAAATAAATAAATCAGATGTGCCACTGTCTTACTCTATCCTACTTATTCTATAACTTCATCATGCAATGGGAAAAGACTAATGCTGAAAGCAGACAGAGTTTGGTGGTCTGAAAAGATCAACGTAGACACAGATAAAGCATTCTGAGTTTCAGCCACGTTCACTACAAACATTTTGCAACACAACTGCAGGGAAACAAGTATGCATAGTCATGATGATGCACTAGTAAAGCTCTCTGGAAAATACTCATGTTTTAAATGTGTGTTTGAATGGCGTCTACAAGTACTCATGACATCCTCAATCCCTCTCAGAAACAAAAACTAAATTTCTGTTTAACTTACTCTTGACATCCTCCAACAATGCCTATACGTCCATCTTGACCTTTATGCCTTTTCCCTGTTAGAGGAGGGATAACATTGCGCACCAGTTGAAAAATATTCTCCATATCCTTTAGAGAGTGTGTTCTGTGCAGTGAGAAAGATCTCTCTATAACTGAAAAGAAGAAAATAAACATTAATTTAAATTATGCTCTTTCTTAAAGTATCATCAGTATTTCTTTCAAGCACTCATAAACACTAATAAAATCACTTAAATCACTCAAAGGTATACAAAGTGACATACTTCTAAAAACCATATGCTTCATCACTTAAAGGCTTTTAAAACAGTGACTAACTAGGGAAGGTGATCATTTTAAAAATGAATTTAGGGTCTGATGCAGAGAATATTCCCACTGACTGCTCACAATCCTAATTTAGGGCTCAGGTACAGAAAGAGGCAACAGCCTAGAATAGTTATATGAACATTTTATAACCAGAAATATCTTCTTAATTCAGCCTGAAATCACTTCCATAATTAAGCTGAACTGAAATAGGTACACGAAATAAGGACTAAATACATCCAGACAGAGCAAGAACAGAGCAACTAAAACCACATTTTGAACATACACCCTACCTTATTTTTCACCTCCCCTGAAAGATTTCCACCTCTTAGCAGAATCAGGGCCTATCTCACTGCTATTTTTTTTTTATTTGACAGGTGGTTACTAAGCGAAAGGAAAGCCATTCCACAAAACTATAATCCAATGCACTAGATGCAAACACTACAGATATCACACAAAGATAATTTTAAGCTATAATACAGCTATAGATCTCTGATGCAAAGCTACATGTCAAGCTACATATTAAAACAGCACACTCAGAAGGCTATATATCTGAATTACTGTTTCGAAAGACTACAGAAATTTAGAAGAAAAAAAAGAAAGTATTTTAATAACTCCAACTACAGATAATTAAATCATTTACCTAACATGGGACACTTCTATCAACAATGTTTAACTATAAATTGCAGTAAATACACTAAAAGAATAAGTTTTTATATTTCAACAAAGCTTCTCATTAACTGTACAGTTCTGTTCAGAAGAGCCATTTATTTGAACATTAGTATTAGCTTCCTAGACCGCAGCTATGCTTATTTTCTTTTTTACAGATCTTCTAAAAAGCTCTCAAGGAACTGCTATACAGTAATACATAATTATATAAGAAATAACTCCCATGATACTCATTTTCAGCTGTGTAACATTTAGTAATCCCACCCCCCCAATTCCAAAATCGGGGGGGGGGGGGGGGGGGGGGGGAGCAGACGACACAACAACAACTGTTCTAGAAATTTTGGACATAATAACGTAGAAAAAATGTAGTAAACAAGAAAACGCATCTGTGCACTATCAGCAGAAAGCATCTTTTTCTCCATCTTTCACAGAATCTAAACCTAAACCAGACGTGCTAATCTTCAGTAATAAAATGCTTTAGTGTTCAATAATGATAAATACTCCTGGCTGATCTTTCGCTTTTAAAATCCTTCTGTACTACAGGAATCCTATTCCTACTGCGATTAAAAAAAAACAAAAAAGAAAAAAGAAAAAAAACCTGTTTTGGATTATGGCCAAAATAGCATTGCAGTGACCCAGAGGAGAACAAAACACTCATCTCCTCTGGAAATACAGCAGATTATTTTCTTTAAATCACACTTCATACACTCAGTGCTTTCCAACCACACAAGAAATAGACTTATGTAGCTTGTAACCCTTAAAATGCCACGTTGTTAAGAAGGTCCTGTTTCTTTGTTGCTGTTTTTTGTTTATATATAAAGTGATTGCATAATATATAGGGAGAAAACAGAGAATTACGCAAAAAGCAGTTCTTAACAGAGCTCCACTTATCTATACAAACACTAAAGCATATTTAGCTATAAACAACTGAAATCTTAATTCCTTAAAAGATGTGCTGCCTGAAGCATTATTTTCACATTTTATTATAAATGCTTTGTTACACCTTCACCAATTAAAAGATTAGAATCTCAAATTGCTCTTGTTACAGTTAAATATATAGAATGCATTTTTGCACAGTGGAACACAACTGTACACCTGTATGACAAAATCCAGCAAGAAAAACTGAACTTTAGTTTCAGGTCTTCACAGACAATGAAACTCTTCCAGCAAAACACTTTTCAGGTGTAATTGTAAGGATGCCTTGTAAGTACCATCACCCCAATCTAGATGCTCAAAAGATTTCGTAAGGGATTTTCTAAAGCACCTCAGGTTTCCTTTTAATTTAAAAGTGAAAACATTTAAAACACAGAATCCATACGTATGCCATAATTTAGCTATGCAAGTCTGCTGCCATCAAGGAATGCTATAGACCAACTACCCACTGAGGAAGAAACAAAACCAAGTCAGCCAGCCTAAACCCTCAACAGGCCTAACCATGCAGTCCCCTGTGCATTTTACAGGGAAACGCAGTATGTAACATAAGAGCTGCAAAGGCTCAAAGATTCTCTCAGGAATCACAGAATGCCCTTTAGGATCTGGCACGCCAGATTATTATTCAACACTGAGGCTGAGTGGTTTGTTTTTTTTTCCTTTTCAAACCACACTTCTTTCTTCCAAGCAGCGTGAAAAACAGAATTAAAACGGAGCGAAACTTGTTTCATTTCCACGCAGCAGGCTACAACCACCGAGCCCCAAGCTGACTCTGGTTTCAGCACTGACAGAGTATCCCTGTTTTTCTCCTGCCCATGCAGTCTACCTCCACGTACAAGGAGACTATGATAAAGACAAATGACACGGAGCCACAGATCCCAAGAAGTCTGTTAATGAATGCTAAAATCCGATTATCAGCTTCTGGCCCACACATAAGGTACAGAAGGAAAAGTCTGTGCATAAATACCAATTCTATTGCTTTGCCTTTTTCTTTAAAATAAATTCAGATGCCCAAAGAGTTTATAAATGAACTTGTGTAGAAGAAAAACATATGCCAATATTTTCACCTTCTATGACACCTACTACAATGATATGATGTTCAATTAAAAGATAAGATTCAGAATTTTGATTTAAATAAATTTATTTTAAAGAAGCCGGATTTTAACATTTGACTTACTTCAACGTAGGCAAAACTCCACTCTTTTCACAACCCTGAAAAAACATATGCACAGCCTTAACTTCATATACTTAGTTAGGCCTGTTAACATCAACAGCAGCAGAATTTCCGCTACAAGGTACCTAATGTTTCTAGATAGCATTCAGCAAATGTGCTACTTGCCTTTTATATATAAAAGCTTCTCCTAACTTCATTTTACAAAGATGTGGATGTGGAAAGAAGTCCCCAATATTTACAGGGTTCAAAAGGTGTGATGCTGCTCATTAAAATTTGTTGTAACTATCATATCTATATTAAATAATAAGTACAATGGTACGAATGCTGTTTTAATTTCATTTTACATCAGACAGACACCTTCACCACAATATTAAATAATTCCAATTAGCGTTTATTTTCAAAAGCTACTTACTCCCAGTGCTTTCACAGAGAAGTTTAAAAAAAACCCCTAACTTTTATTTATGCTATAGAAGGAAGTACCTATCGGTGGAGAAAGTGCTGCTGTCATAGCATTATAATTAAAGTTATCCCCATACGAACGATGGTTCGCTCTCTGAGGTGGACTCGCTGGTATAGATTGTGACCTTTGTGATACCGTGGAGGAAATTCCTGCCAACATCTGTCCCAACATCTGTAACATCTGAAGCTCTCGAGCATGCTCAGCTTCCCGACGCTTGTCCTCAATTTTGAGCCTTTGCTCTTCATATCTGTAAAATTTCTCTTCTGTATCCACGCTCTGCTGCAGGAATTTTTCCATCATTTTATCCAACGTTAAATTTGCATGGCGCTTTTTTGATCTTTTGGGCTGATTGAGAGGTGGGGTAATAGTTGGAGCATTGATTTCTTTAAAGCCTAAAACAAGAAGAGAGGCAATTATTTTTCTGAAGAAAAAGAATTTCCTACGAAGAAAGCAGCAAAGAATCTCCCTAAGAGATGTGCACCTAACATGTCACAAAGTTGTTATACTTTTCCGATGTGACTTGTAATTATGTCAGATACTTTTATTTCAGAGTACCAAAGCAAAACCACCAGCTTCTACAGAGTTATAAAGGCAACACAAAAATCACGCAGAAGCATCTTTTAATTGTTGTAGTACTAAACTTCAACAATAGGAGTCTTTTTGATCTTCTAAAAAGGTTTAAGTGGAGGCTATTAAATAGTATAGCCTCATTTGTGTATTGCAGGTAATTACATTAATCTAAATTGAGTTTCAGTCTGTTGGCATTCTGTATTTGCATTTCAAAAGAACATTAATGTAAACAACTCTTTGATGGAGTTTATGTGTAAAAAGAAGGTTGGTTAAACGTCAACCAATTGGCTGATTCCTCAGTGATGTCAACTTCTGAAGACAGGTTCATGTTTGTATTAAAACCACGGCACTAATCTAGATTTAAAACAAACAAATAACATTCTCCCCCCCCCC